CTGACTTCACTTCTTCAGACCACTGTGAGGTCTGCAGACCTACATCTCACACCCAGTGAAAGCAGGAGACACGGAGGTGGTGGGAAGAGTATCCTCTCTCATATCCCAGAGGATAAAGAAGATGGGGACAAGAAGTAAATAGCCCAGCATACTGCATTATAAAAGTGCCAAAGAAAGAGCAGATTTGAAGTCTGAGCCTGACATACAGTGTGGGGTAAAAGTAGGTTTACAGTTGTGAGTACATGACACACACCATTCACTCTTGTATTATTATTTATTATTGTATTATTTTCTATACGAACAACTGTAAACCTACTTTTGCCTCACCCTGTATAGTAATCCTTGAAAGGGAAGTATGGTATCAGATTGCTTGGATACAGCAGTTTATTGTAGACAATGCTCAATATTTCCTGATGATTGATGACAAGGCTAAGAAAACATTGCATTTATTTGATTAATTCACGGGTTGTTCCCTTGAAAAATTTCTTACCTTCACAGTCTATTTCAACCAAAGAAAATCATGAAGTTTTACATTTGCTCTTCACTCTAGAGCACATGATAAGCATTTTAACAGGAAGACACTGTGGCTTTTACAAGATTTTAAAAACAGATAAATATCATGTCTTGTTAACTAGGTTGGTGTTTCTCTAAGAAATAGTCCTTATCTAATAGAAGCGGAACAAGAATGTCCAGTTTGACCAGTCTTTTGGCTGCAGTTTACTCTTTCACCTTAAAAAAAAATCACTAAGAATAGGCACTAACAGAGACGTACATTCTATTTGGAAACTTGTCAAATATCTACACTGCAATGTACAGGAATAAAATGCAGTCTTAGGCCACTGAGTATTTCTGAAATTTTTTAAAATATATTTTATTGATTTTTTACAGAGAGGAAGGGAGAGGGATAGAGAGTTAGGAACATCGATCAGCTGCCTCCTGCACAACCCCCACTGGGGATGTGCCTGCAACTAAGGTACATGCCCTTGACTGGAATCGAACCTGGGACCTTTTAGTCTGCAGGCCGATGCTCTATCCACTGATCCAAACCGGTTAGGGCTTTCTGAAAAAATTTTAAAAATATGCTTATTTTTAATGATCCAAGATTTTGCAAGATACATATATACCCAGAACTGGGTGGAAATACATTTTAGCAGTGCTGCTGCCAACCTGGGCGATGGAGGGTGAGAGGTGGGGAGGGGTGGGGAAGTACGAGGGCTGGATGCTGGCTGAAGACATATGACCACCGCAAGGTGTAGCCAATTTCGACCTGACAGGGAGCCTCAGTGCCCTATCTCCACAGAAACCAGTCTAGCACTGGGATGGGGCCCGAGGGAGCCTGTATGAATGTCTCTGGCAGGTATTTCCCATTAAAAACAACCATCAGTGCCATCCCCACCCAGAGCTACTGCCCATCTTCCCCTCTTCTCCCTCAGCCAACATCTTAGAATGGCAAAATGACTGTACCCCCTATGGGGAGGACGGGGAGGAAGGGTAGCAAGGTGGCCGTGGCAAATGAGATACCCTCTGTTGCAGTGGGGCCACTGCTACTGGGGCACAGAAAAAGGCAGGGCTTCAAGGGTGCTTCCTCCCCTTCTAGAGCTGCTCAAGATTTGGGTCAAAAGGGGATGGGGCCCAGGAAGGCCCTACCACCCTAGGAAACAGTCACATCCACTACCAGAGAGTGCTACCTGCATCCTGGTGTGGTGTCCCGACCTGCGGGACTGTCAGAGGTCTAGGCTGAGAGCTCCAGGGAAGACCAAGGCAGGGTGGGGGGACAAGACAAGAAAATCTTCTCCAACCTGGCATCAAAACAGAGCAAGTTCAAAGAAACACAACCTTGATTTGTACAGCAGGTGCTCCTGGCCAGCTCCCGACAGTGGGCTCACCCACTAAGGGTTGGCCCAGTAAAAAGATGGGCAAAGCTGGGGCATGGCTATTCTCAGGGCAGTGACAGAACTCAGAAAAGTGAGTCTACAGGACACAGGAGAGAACAGCAGAGCCAAAGCCCTGCTGCTCTGACACGTCCTCCGCAGCCCCACATGCCTTGGGCCCTGACCGCACACCACGTAGGAGCAGCGTCTTTCAGGCTGAGTCCTGGCAGAGGAGACAGTTCCCAGGCAGGTCTCCGGGGAGGGAAGTCTAAAAGGTGTCCCAAAGGAACATGAGAGCGTCCTCTGACGGCCCCCAACTGAGCTCTTCAGGGGCGATGGAGAGGAGACCATCCACCCCTCATGGCCAGGCTGTGCTCCCCTGTCCCTTTCGAGAGGGGCCCAGGTAGAGCACCCTAACTGAACAGCAGGGGTGTCAGTAGGAGTGGGGGTCCCCAGGCCCTCAGGTGCGGTGTGTCTGGATGAAGGAGAGGACATCCTCCTTGGATAGTCTGTCTGGGTCCTGGGGCTTCTGGGAGTCATGTACACGGATGCCATCCCCCCACTCCTAGAAGAGCCGGCCATAGTAGCAGATGTGAAATGGGGCAATGGCGTCTGCAGGGAGCTCACAGGTAGAGATCTTACTTTTCTTATTGTAGAAGAACTTCCTCTTAAAGCTTCGCTGAATCCCATCATCGACGGCTCGTTCACTGTCCTGATCATGTAGAGACCAGTGGGCACAAAGTGCTGGTTGTCCCGTCCTGTGTAGCTGAGCTTTGGGATGCTGCTGGAGCCCTTGATGATCTTCATCTCCAACCTGACAAAAATCTTCTCCATTTCCTCCAGCCTGTACACCTCCTTCACCCTGATGGGATTCGTGTCAGACCAACTAGGCTTGGAAACAGCTTTCACAAATTTCTCAGCAAGCTGAATTCGCCGGTTGAAGTGCTGCTCCCACACGTTGCTGCCATTCAGCACCAGGACATCGAGGATGTGGATGTCACTCATCTTCCGCTGGGCCTTCCCCTCCCCTTTCAGCTCATGGACAATCTCCACAGAGAGCAGAGTGTCCTGGGGCAGCTCTGTCTTCAGGTCCAGCTTGACCCAGCGGTCTGACTGGCGGCCGTCCCACGTGTAAATCTGTGACTTCCCCAGGCTCAGGAGGAACTTCTGCTCACTGCCAGATACCATGCACTGGGCAGATCTTCTCTAAGGTTTTGCAGGTGAGCAGCGTGGGCTTATAGCTGAAGATGTCGACCTCAGTGCCCCAAATCAGCTCAAAGAACTTAGACTTCGGGTCCGAGGAGGAAGGAGCCACACAAGTCTGATCTGGGATCCCCCAAAGACGGAGGCACTGTTTCCGGATCTCTGCTTGCCGAGGCTCACTCAGGGTGGTGTCTTGAACAAAGGCATAGATTTTGGCCAGAGCTTTGATCTGCAGACTACAGTAGCTTTCATTGGACCGTATCATGTAGTCAGTAAATTCATGGTCTCCGTTGATCACCTCCAAGGGAACCACAAGGTTGACATCGGAATCGGTGTTCCGCAGCTGGTTGAGTTTAATATTGACTGAGAAAGGTACTCCTGCACGTCATCTATGCCCACCTTCAGGCCCTTGCACACCACATACCTCTCTGAGTTGGCAGGATGGCTGGTAATCGGCTTAAAGAGACATATTCGTTCAAAGCAGCAGTACAGCAGGTAGATGAGCCCCATGTTGAACGGTGTGAACAGGTCAAAGGTTTTACAGATGAAGTGGCCTCCTGTCTGGACAACAGAGAGCACCATGAGAAAACTGGCAGAGCAGCAGCTGCTTGCTGAGGATCTCTCCCAGGTTCTCCCGGCCATCCATGGAGAAACTCCCATCGGCCCTCAGAAAGTGGACACCCTTTCCATTTGTGTTATCCAAGACAAAATCCAAAAAGCAGTGATGTTCTCTGGGCGGGTTATCTCCATCGATCCCACCCTCGCCGTAGTAAGGTTCAAAGAGTTCACTGGAGGCCGAGTAGAAGTCCTCCAGCTTAAAGTCATTTGGGCCCTTCAGAGTCATTCCAAAGCCCTTCGCATGCCACTTCTTCCTCCACAGCACATACTCCGAGAAGCCACCGGGGCCTGCACAGATGTCAGCGAAGTACAGAAGCTCCGCTTCCCGGTCCTTCACCAGTGGTTTCCCACAAGAGTCCCATGGATTTGTAAAAATGCGATCAAACACAAAATCCATATTGGCCATCTTCATTGCCGCCCTGTTCAGGAAGAAGACTCCTTGGATCATCTCGTAGGGATTGGCCCGGGTCCAAGCTCACCGCATCTTCTCCCAATCTAAGACATCAAACATACTCTTACACTGCAGCACACTGTGAAGCAGGTCTTCCCCACAAAACTCTGTTTCATCTTCAATAATCATCTTCCTCTTTCCCACAACCATCCAATCGCTCATTTCCTCAGTGTCAGGAATCTCGGTGGTACATTCTGGGAACCATGACACCTGCTCACAGGCACTGGGCTCGGGCTCATCTCGCCAGTCCACATTCAACTCCTGTTCAAAGCCCTGCAACGTCAGACCCAAGCCTCGTCGACCTTTCTGATTAGAGGCCTCCACAATGTCCTTCCGACCCCGGCCGTATTTACCCAATCCTTCACCTTCCCTGAAGCCCATCTTGGCCATAAGCTTTTGGGAGACACTGTTGTACATGGAATAGCGGGAAGAAGTTCCCTCCACAAGAGAGTCTGCTTTGAATGCTTCATCACAGCTGCGTTGCTTCCCCTCAGTCTCACTGTCAGACCCACTGAAGCCTATGGTAGATACTTTTCGCTGCATGATTGATAGAGGAGGGAGATTCATCATCAGATGTAGAGTTGAGGCTCAGGGCAAACTCTGCAACTCTTTTCTCCTGTTTCTTGATAGGGGCAGTACCATTTTGGATCATTTCTCCTCTTCATTGTTAATGGAGGGGAGTGGGCAAGCTGCCAGGGAGCGGAGAGGGGGGTCAGGCCACCACTGCCGCTGGCACTACGGGGCCCGGCCCTGCTGTGCCAGAACCGCCAGCTCCTCCCTCACTTTCGTTTCCCCAGCCAGTCCCGGTGCACCGCCCAGCTTATTTCTGAGTTTTTAATGATTATTATTATGCTTACCTGCTGCTGTCTTTGTCGCCTCGCTTGTGCAAACTGGGAAAGCATCAGCTGCCGATCGAGCAGTTCCATTCTTTGCTGCCTCTGAATGTCTACTGTGGCCCCCATCCCGACTCTGGCTTCAGTGGTAGGTTCTGAAGATGAGAAGATGGGCTCAAGTGTCCAAGAACAGAACTTTGCCATCCAGCTTGGGATGTACAGCACCTGATGAACTTGTAGTATTTTGCTGTTGTAGCAGATACCGGAAATCTAAAAGAAAAAAGTCCAACTGGATTGTTTAAGTGTAATCAAAATTTAAAGAACATATTTAACATAGAAATCAATAACCACAAAATACTTCAGATGGTATTTTTCTTCATTTTAGCAGTTAGGTGATACCCAAAACTCCTACCAAGTTGCAGAATAGCTGTACAAATCAACAAATAATTTAATTTGCTCAGTAAGCAAGTTTGCTTTTAAAAAAAAAGTTAGGAGAGAGAGGTAGCAAAATCCTAACCATTTAACACTCAAAGTACAGGTGAAATGTTTTTAAAACAATGTTTTCATTTTTTAAAAAGCCACAAAAGATCTGATTATCAAAATACTTTCACACTAACTCTGTGGTTACTCTTATTGGCATATGGCCATCAGAGAGAGATAGTGGCAGAAAACAACTTTGACGATCAATAATGTGACCCAGCCATATAATAAATTTATTAGAAAATAAAGGCAATGTAAAATTTACATAGTGTTTTAATAAATTTTTCTGTTGATTTTTTAAAATCCTTGCCAATAGTTAGCAATTAACAATCCCATTTGCAAACAAGTCTATTTTCATCTTTAAGGTAATATATGTGGCAAAAGAAGTCTAAAGATGGTCTATGGTTTTCTAGGTGAAAATGAATGAGTATGGCTATTCTTCTGTAAAATCTTCAATTTTGTGAACTTGATTCTTAGGTAAGAAGTTATTCACACCAAATTAGAGCATATTTGACAACTTTCTGTCTAGAGAAAAGTACACTTTAATGTTTTCTTAATAAAATTAATTAACTAGGAAAGAATTTATTGAGCATCTGCAATACACCAGGCACTGTTCTAAATACTTAAGAACACAGCAGAAGACAAGATCAAGATCAAATTACCTCTTACAGAGGTAATGGTGGTCAATATGGAGAACAAACAATAAACAAGCAAGCACACAAAGCAACTCCAAGCAAGCTCTATGAAGGAAATAAAAGAAAGTGACTTGGAACAGGGACTTTCTTTAGGCAGGGTGGTCAGGGAAGCTTCAGAGGAAGTGACACTTGAGTGGAGATCTTGAGGATAATGGGGTATCAGTCATTTGACGAATCGGAAGAAGACCATTTCAGTCAGCAAAACAATAAATGCAATACAGGAATGAGCTTTGAAGAATCTATTAGAAATTTTAGTGGAGATATCAAATGAGGAGCTGAATATACAAATCTGGAACTCAAGAGAAAAATTAGCAGAGATAAAAATTTGGGAGTCACTGGTATTTAATGGCATTAAAAGCAATGAGAACCTATAACAGAAGAGAGAAGAGGGCCTGGCTCGGTGGCTCAGTTGGTTGGAGCATTGTGCACACACCAAAAGGTTGCAGGTTCGATTCCCAGTCAGGGCACATGCCTCGGTTGCAGGTTCGATCCCTGGTCGGGATGTGTATGGGCGACACCCCATTGATGTTTCTCTCTCTTTCTTAATCTCTCTCTCCAAATCAATAAAAACATATCCTCGGGTGACGATTGAAAAAAGAAAAAGAAGAGAGGACTTCACCTTGATATTTTTGGGTTGAACAGAATAGGAGAAGGCAATAAAGAAAATCGAGAAGGAACAGAAGGAAAACTAGGACAGGTTAGTATCAATGAAGCTAAGAGAACAGTGTTTTAAGATGGGAATACTAGTTATCTATGTTTAATAGAGCTCAGAGTTCAAGTGAGACAGAGAGGAAAAGGACCATAGCATTTAGAACACATTTGGTGCAGTGGTGGGAGCAGAGGACATACTGGAGTATGCTAAAGAGTGACTGCAGAGGACTTTTGGTCTCAAATCATATCCATGCCACGTAGCTCAAAAAATGGCACAAAACAACAAAGAAATCGGAATCAGAAACAAACTTCACATTTGATGAAACTAAAAGGCGTGTGTAATCTTGATCCACAGTAACGAAATTTAACACACATTGTGTAATTGGAAACCACTTAGTATACCGGAAGAAGGGTAAATCCAAATGCCAGCAAGAGGATTCCCTGGAGCTCAGACAAGTCTCAGGCATCAGAGGCACAGGCACTGTAGAAGGCCAGGGCAAAGCAACCCCAAATCCTCCCCTTACTTAACACAGCCCATATCTACCCTCTGTTTCCTCTACAGCAAGAAGATAAAACCTCTGAAGGGCATGGATCAAGGAGGCTCTGAGGAGGGTAGAGCAGGCCCAGAGGGGAGGTCTAGGGCTCTCCACAGGTGAATTCCATAAGCAACAACAACTATAAAATACTTAGGAATAAATCTAACAAAAATATGTAAGGCCTTCATAGAGAAAACTAAAAAACTGTGTGAGACATTAAAAACACACAAAACAACTAAATTCTAGAAATAAATATAGAAATCACATCCATGAATGGGAAGGAGCAAAATTGTTAAAATACCAATTTTTACCAAATTCAATATAATTAAAAATATTAACAGGGTTTTTGTTGTTGTTATTAGAACTTAAATGCCAATCCTAAAATTCATATGGGATATTTAAGGATTAAATTTTTAAAAATATACTGCTGCGAGAAAGAAGCCACGCATAAAGATTGTATACACTATGATTCCCCTTCTGTAAATGAATGGATCTGAACAATATATCGAGTGGGAAAACCATGAAGCCAAGCATGAAGGTAACCACATGTCCCAGGAGAACAGCCACGGGAGGGATGAGCCTTGGGGGCGGGAAGTTCTTTGATCCTGTTTGGGGTTATACAGTGTGTTCACCTTATAGTGATCTGTTTGGCTTCATGACACTTGTAGTTTATGAACATTTTGGTGTGAGTTACATACTACAATAAAAAGATTTAAAAATAAGGAATAAAGGATACAGAAAAGCCAAGGTAATTTTAAAGAAGCATAATAAGGCCTATTAGATTTTAAGATATGTTATAAAGTTTAAGTACTTAAAATAGTGTGGGCTCTTTGTAGAGCTACTCAAACAGACCTATGGGGCAAGAACACAGAAGTAGACTCGTAAGTACAGGGCACTTGGTATACAGCAGAAATGGGTAAACCAGAGGGAAAAGGATACATGAGCTACATGTAAGGATAAAGACAAACAAGGCTCTCTTCCTGACACCGTACATCTCAACTCCCAATGGATTAGGGACACAAATACAGTGTTATTTACAAAACTATAAATGTTTCCGCACAAAATAAAGGAGGAACATGTTTTTGGCAATGGGATGGGGAAGGATTTTTAAATAAAACACAGAAGGCACAAACTAAAAAAGAAAACATACTTTCATTTACTTTACAATTTAAAAGTTACGGTATGCCAAACATTACCATAAATGAAGTGAGAAGACAAGCAAGAGTCTGAGAAAAGGTACTTAGAATATTTGTAGTCTACAAAGGTAGTGTTCAGAACATATAACTCTGTTCATTTATAAGAAAAAGATAATCACCCCAATTTAAAAAGCAGACAAAATGGCAATTCCAGTAGAGGAAATTCAAGTGGCCAACAAATACATGAAAAGATGTTTGTTCTCAGCTGTTTTTAGGGAAATACAATATAAAATGAATAATGTTAAATACAATATACAAGATTTTTCCATTTTGGGCAAAAATTGAAAAATCGTGTATCAAGTTTTGGTGAGGATGAGAACTGAGAACTCACACAGTCCTCGGGAAGGGGAGTGCCACTGGAGAGCAGTGCCCCTGTAGGAGGACTGGGTCCAGGACACTTGCAGATTGCAAAATCTGAGAATGTTCAAGTCCCATAGAAAAAATAGTGTAGGATTGGCACATAACCTATATTTGCATACAGACCACGTTGGGTATGCCTACATGTCATTTCATTCTTGTGGATTCAGTGTAGTGCTCAACAATGTTTTGATTTTCAGAATATACTAAGACCTACCTTTTTTCCTTCCTTCCTTCCTTCCTTCCTTCCTTCCTTCCTTCCTTCCTTCCTTCCTTCCTTCCCTCCCTCCCTCCCTCCC